CAGGCCGATCCTTCAGAGATTGTGCATGTGCAGCGGCTAAAACACTTCATACAAAGGGATCAAGAGGAGTTAATACCACCTACAGATCCACCGATGCCTCCTCCTGACGTTCCTCCGGATCCCGGCCCATCTTCAAGAGAACCCTGATGGTCTTCCATTATCCCGAGAGGAGGGGATGATGTGAGGGCCAAGTGTACGGTTACGATGCCGTATACTAATATTACCATAGTGGGATTTTGGTAGTCGTCGGATTGGTTTCAATCTGGACCACTTGCTCCTGTATATAAACTAGGGTTTTTGGGCTAATTGATATGCACATTTTTGTATTCCCTTTCCATATTCCAAGCACTCACAATTCTATTTTTCAATTGATTATTTGCAGGTGTGTGCTAAATTCTGGATCTTGTTCAAATGACAGATCCGTAGTACTTGTGCTGAAGTTGTCCAACTCGCTGTTGATGCTGGTTTCACCAAGTGTGAGCAAAGGTAGACTTTCTTCTTGTTATGTTTTTTAGTCTAGTTTTACGTTTTTAATTGCAATTGCCAGGCTCTTCTATGTATCCCATAGGACAAAGTCCAATGCCGTGTTATGCAGCCTGGAGTGAAAGATAGTCTTGGCTGCATGGGTGTTGATTCCATGGAACAGCCTGCAACTGACATGGACCTCCAAGCAATGGTATTTTGCAAACTTTTGACTAGTTTATTTTTATCCTTTTTAACATTGTGTTGAATGACTAGCGAACTTTGTTGGCCTGATCTATCACCTTCCATGCGATTCCACTCTCAGTTGTGTTGGTAAAAGGCCTATATTTCTACACTTGGTTCATCAATGGTTTTCTATCTTCTCATGTAAATCTCTCCAATGCTATCACTTCTATGAAGAATTTGCCAAAAGTTTGGGCCTGTAGTAATCTAGATAGTTATCATCTTGAAAAACTCAAGGTTGTTGTCAAGACGGTGCTACAATAGCACAAATCTTGAAGGATGAGTCAGGAATTGTGTCATGCACGATCATCCAGGATGTTGAAGAGATGAAAGAGGTGAACACACAACTCTTCTTCAGTTTACTTCAGTGAACACGTCTGGACTCTAGCATGGAGGCTTTTCTTGACGCAAATTGCGTCACTGAGTATCAAGAAACAATTCTCCACGAAATGAATGAAATTACAATTTTGCATGCAGAAAACAAAACAATTAAGGAGAACTTCAATGAAGATTTCATCAAGTCTCACTGCAAAAATAAAATGGTAATTTTCCTAAATGATTAATATCACACAATCTTTCCCATATCCAAACACAGATCTGTAACCAGCCTTCATGGGGGGTGTTGTGGTTGATTGAAATTGAATTGATCGAGATCAAAACAACAAAAGAAAGAATCCCCGCATGACGTGTCAGCCACGTGGCTATCCCCCCTGTGCGCAACCATGCCACTTCCTTGTAACTAAATATCAACACACGGCCAGAGCTTCATTGCAATCCACACATGGACCACTTTGTAGCAGCACCCTATAATATTGTGTAAGGAAAAATAGTACGGAGCATATAACCTCTCTCTTGCTCTTCCCTTTCCTTTCATTCTGGCTGCTTCTTCTCTTCTTCCATGTTCTTCATTCTGGTGTACATGGGACATTGTCTTACAGCAGCTGGAGATTTTGTGCTCATGGTCAATCTCGCAACATGTTCATTTGCCAGGAATACCTCGGCTTCTGGATCATAGCTGGGCAGATGAAACCAGACCCAACGAAATTGGATGCAATCCAAAACTGGCCAGTGCCTGCTACAATGAAACAACTCCGAGCATTCTTGGGATTGTGCAATTACCTCCGAAAGTTTATAGAACGCTACGCCAACGTTGCCGCTCCGTTGACAGACATCATTGGAGTAGGCCTATTCTTTTGGAGTTATGACACTCGACAAACTTTCAACAGACATTCAACAGACACAAATGTCACATTCTTGAGGTGCCAGTGCTCTAGCTGCTGGATTTCACCGGAGGTTTGTGGTGGAAACAGTCCGATGCAGCAGTAGGAGTGGTTCTCACAACTTGATTGCTTTAGAGAGCAGGAGTTTTAAGGCAGCCAACATATGAGCAGGAGAGGATAATTGCAGTAAGGCTGCAGCGATAGTGTTAAGAAACAAGTGTAAGTTTTTTGCATCTCTTTTTCTATTTAGGCTAAATAGAATGAAGCTGTGTAATGGCTTTTGTACCGAAGAAATCATTATTTGTCTATACTGTATAATATATGCTGATGAATGGCCATAGGTTTTAACTACCCAAAATTGCCAATCTCAAAGTCAAGCACATTTTCTAGGCATTGGACAACATAAAAATTCCATTTTGCCCCCTGAAATTCGGTAGCTATAAAGTCAAGATTCATGATGCAGTGAGAAGTATGCTAGTGAATCACCTTGGCAAACTGTTTTGCAGGTTCTAGGAGGATGGACCTTATTTGCCCTAGGAATCTCATTGGAAGCAGGAGTCCTTTTCAAGAAGGATGGATATTGATTAATGCCAGGTGGGATCATCGTGGCGTGTTGCTTCCACCTAGGGTGTTGTTTGGGTTGTCAATGTAGCATGTTAAATTACATTGACTCAATTTGACTTGCACTTCACATACATTCTCAGGGCAACTTATGTAGAAATACTGCCTGCCAAGACAACTTGCAGCAGCTCAGCTTCAAGGCAAAGGCCTGGATGAGGAAGTGTGGGTAAGTGTTCTTCAATGGCAGGCAGGTTCTTTTTTGTAATCCCTTTTCTTTTGAATGGCAAGGTGTAGCATGTGAGGTCACGGCCATGGGCGAGGGCAAGGGCGAGGGAGTGGATTAGTTCCTTCTTCTGAGGTTAGTGCAAGCATATCATAGGGTTTACAGCTTTCAGAATAGTAGCTGCCGTTGCTGTCTCTCTCACAACATTAGGATCCAGAGCTTGGGTGTGGTTTTCCTTCTCAGCTAGGCCAGCAAGGCGGGCATGGTTTAGGATCAAGGGGAGGCTTGAGAGCAGTGCATGGGGTTGTGTATATGTTGATACGGAAAATTTGGAGCAGAATGCTTGCAACAAAATGACACCTTAATTTTATTCCAACAAAAAGATTGAGGTGTGGAGGGACTTGGTCCAATGCAACATTTTTCACGTATCAATAAATGACTAGGGCCTGACAGGAATCATCAAACACCTTGTTGGAGTTGTGCCACCTCAACACCGTTGCAAAGTTAAGGACACTACAAAAGGTCAGAAAAGGACAAGATGCTTTAAGTGTTGGATGCTCAAACATAGTGTCTGGAGATGGATCATGTCCAAAGAGGCTTCACTCCAACTACTATATACCTCCAAGTGGTGATGTTGAGGGCTGGGAATGGATAAATCACATTCTTGAATTTGAAAGATAGGAGGCTGAATGGTTATGGTGAGAGAAGCAGGATTTAGAATTATGAACTGCAATAGGTACTCCAAATACCATGTGAGTCAAGCTTACCGGGGATGCTGGAGAAGCTCAAAATGTTCAGTGACAAACAGAGATTGCATTTCTAAGTTGTCCTGATTTTAGCAAGCCAATGCTTCTAACACAAGGGCGTTGGCTATGTCTAGGTGGTTGATAAACTGGACACCAAAAGAGCTATAGGTGGAGCACAAATGGTTTGCATTACGAGTTTACAATGATGCTATGTTATTTAGTCTTGCGCTCAGTGAAGATGCACACTTGGAGCATTGCTATCCTCTGCCAACCATGGCTGCTCTACAGGAGCTGCTGGATGAGGTTTATACAGAATTCATGGACAAAATCGGAAAAAAAATTGAGAATGTAGCCAAATAAGTCACTCCTCATCCACTATCTCTAGTGTCCAATGGCTAGAAGACTGTAAAGGATATGCACATTGGGAACATAATCATGGTTGATGCATTGCACAAAGATGAAATCTTTTATAGTTCCTTTGAAAGCACAAACTCATTAGTTATATATAGTTTTGTATCTAATATCGTGTTTTCTTTCTAGCTGAAAAAATTGCTAGCAAGCTTAATGAGGTACTGGAGCAAATACAGAATTGCATAGGGACTGGAACATGTGGGAGAGGCCCACTTGGTCCTTCAAATACATCAGAAGTAGAAATGTGTCAACTTGACAGAGTGAAGCAGTGTTATTGCTGTTGTGATAGAATATGCTTCCAATATGCAGCTAGTTGGACAGATACTTGAGATGTAGTGGAGAATTTGGAGTGTACCTTGTCAATGCCATGCATTGAACCTTGTTCTCAAATCATGGGAGTAGGAACGGAGAGGTTTGTATTCTGGATTTAAATCGCGTCTCTCAACAAGCTTTCGAAAATGGAAGGAGAAGCTTTCACTCTGCTCACGAGGTTGAATCCCTCTCTGTCCGATGCCTGCTGGTTCGGCTACTTCTTCTCCACGAGCCAGGTAACGTTCCTGCTTCCCAACCGGAACGTCTGGTATGCTTCCGCCACCTTGGCCCCGCTGCTATCGTACACGGGCATCCGGATCGACGAGCTTGGAGACCTTGGCACTTGCAGTTTCAGTGTGGAGGGCTTGGGCCTCAACAACTTGGGAGTCTGATGTCTTCGCAACGAGGCTGATCCCGAGATCGCTCTTCAACCACGAACAAGACCCCCTCCCAAAGGCCATGATGCGTGTCATGACCGAACTGCAACTTCCAGCTACGTATGCGATCCTCGGCGTGAATCCGGCGTATCGCGACGGCTCGTATCGCCCCTGACTTGGTGGGACGACAATGCGACTGTGGCGGAGATGAGGGCTGCTGCGAATCTAGTGTCGCAGGCGAACAAGCTCTTCATCACTTACGTGAACGAGGCACGAGCCCAATTGGCAGCAGTCCTTCTTTGAGGAAGAACTATCCTCACCTTTACCACATCAAGCGCAAGGTCGATCCCACCAATCCATCACTGCGTGGGCAGCGAATTCAACTGAGAATCAACATAGCAAACAAAGCAAACTTTTAAAATCTATCAATCAAAATTTAGGGCTCTTCCTTACTATGAGATGGGGCTTCTGAGCGTTGTTCTTGGGCTCTGGATTGCCGCTCTAGCGGCTGCCAAGACGGTGAAGCGAGACGGTGAGTCCATCCTCTCCACCTGCATTCTCGATCTAGCCAGGGATTAAGCGACGATCTTGCTAATTCCAGTCAAGGCCTTGAACGAGCTCAAGGCAGCTGGAGGATGGAAGGTCATGTACGCTTGGAATGGGGAGGATCCCTGTGGCGATGGAGACGCGGCGTTGTGGCCGGGAATCACCTGTTCCTCCCCAAATGACAATGGCTATCGAGTGGTCACGGAATTGTGAGTTTTAATACCTCTATCACTTTGATCGTAAACTTGGTTCGTTCTTTTCAGGGAGCTCTTTCAAGTGTCGATCATTGGAACGTTCCCGATCGGTGTCACGAATTTGCTGGATCTCAGGAAACTGTACGTTTGCGTGTGTTGATTTTCTTTTTCCATGTACTGAGTTCTTGCGTTCTTCTCTGGCAGAGACTTGCATGGCAACAAACTCACCGGATCGATTCCTCCTCAAATAGGACGCCTGCAGAAGCTTGTAACTTTGTAAGCAGTCTGGCCGAAAGATTCGCGACTTGATTTGATTTTTCTTTGCAGGAACTTGAGATGGAACAAGCTGCAAGACGCCATACCTGTTGAGATTGGGCAGCTGAAGAAACTACAAAACTTGTGAGTAGAGTTTTATTTCCGTTCTAAGTTCTTTCTTTCATCATGTTTGTCTGTCAGGTTCTTAAGTTTTAACAGCCTTAGAGGACCTATACCAAAGGAGCTCACGTATCTGCAGGAGCTTCGATACGTGCATCTTCACGAGAATAAGCTCATCGGCCGGATCCCTCCGGAGTTTGGAGAACTTCCTTATCTCCGACAATTGTAAGCTTCAGTTTCATCCATGCAGACAGATTTTCTATATGCCATCATATTATTCTCTCGCAGGGATGTCAGCAACAACCATCTTGTGGGAACCATCAGAGAACTGCTAAGAAGCGAACAGAATCGTGCTAAAGATGCATTTCCATCTCTCCGAAATTTGTAAGCTTTTCTTCTTTTGTGCTTGGAGTCTTAAGCTCGACGTCCCCGCAGGTACCTAAACAACAATTACCTCACCGGAGGAATACCAGCAGAACTTTCGTACTTGCGCAATCTAGAAATCCTGTAAGTTCGACGCTAGACTTGTCCTCGCCTGCTGATTCCCCCCGTGGCTATGCAGGTACTTGTCTTACAACAAACTTACAGGTCCGGTACCGGACGCACTCGCAAGCATCCCGAAGCTAACCTACCTGTGAGTTCTTTACGCCCCCATCAATTTTTCTCACGCAAAAGCTCGTTTTTCTCGTAGATACCTGGATCACAATGCTTTGAATGGCCGACTATCGTCAGCCTTCTACAGCCATCCGAGCCTGAAAGAGATGTACGTTGGCTCTTTCGCTTGATCATCGATGTAGTAATAATCCAAGCGTTTCTTTTTCCAGGTATATTGAAGGGAACCAATTCAGCTCTTCTGCCAAACCAGTTGGTTTACACAGGACAATGGAAGTATCCGACGCCGACTTCATTTTTTAGAAGGCAAGAGTTTTCTTCATGCAGTCTCTGTTTCACGATAACGCTAGAAGAAGTTGCCAAGGAGGGAGATCAGGGAGAATATTACTTTTTCACGTGCTAGTGAGTTCGATTCCCGGTACCAGTCACTTTTCAGCCGTGAAGCGTTTCATGCTGTTGTCTGAGACTGCAGAATGCATCCCTGGACAATCTATCATGCATGAGAAAAGCGTACATGGAATATGAGGAGATTAAGGATGCTAGCCAGCTTCTTAGAAGGATGCCTGAAATGATTCCAGCATAATGCCAGCCATGATTTCATTGATGTAGTTACGTTCCTTGATGTACTCTCGATACCGTACTATTACGAACAACTTATAGATTTTGTTGGAGTGGATGAAAATTTCCACAAAAATATGGTGATCCTGCAGCAATTTCAACTGGAAGATGTACAAATAAAATAAAATTTCTTTGCTACTTGTGCTCTTTGAGTTTACACCAAAAACACCAATGGCCCTTGCAGGATTTGTGTACTGCTTAACTTGCTTGATCGTCTTATTGTCGTCTCCGGGTGTTGCTATTGATCAGTTTGAGACGGTGATTCCCGACTGGGTCGATTCGTTTCATTTCCCGCGACCTTCACTTCGGGTAGCTTACGGATCGCAGAACGTGACCATAGAAAGGCAGTTTTCGCCGGCTGAAGTTCTTCTGCAGCCTAAGGTGAGCATCACAAATGCTGGGAATAGAGACCTTTTTACGCTTGTAATGGTGGATCCTGATCCTCCCGGTCCACAAATTCCCATCTTGAGGAACATTCTGCACTGGATTGTAGTTAATATCCCGGCTCAATCTACCAGTAAGCTCTTATTCCAAAAGAAATCAGGACCGCTTGAGTACATTTATAATGAATTTGCAGATGCATCAGAGCAAGGAGACCATCTTGCCCCTTACTTATCTCCTACACCAGTCCAGGGAGTCCACCGTTATTATTTTCTTCTCTTCAGACAGGTGAGAAAGACTTTGAGCAGTCCTCGCATGACTTGAACATTGTGATTGCAGAAGAAACAAATTCATGCTGGAAGTCTGGTTGGAAGTCTTAGCAGGACTCTCTTCAGTGTCCGTGTGTTCACAGAGAATTATGATTTGGGTTATCCTGTAGATGGAGTCTTCTTCACCTCCAGAGTGATTATATAACTGATGAACTCGTATCAATAAATTGAGTAGACTTGATCCCAATATCCTCTCCTCCATTGCAAGCATATATGACTTTCCATCCTCCACCTTGAGTGGTAAGATCGTCACTTAAACTTATCAAGAATGTGGATGGAAATTATCAACTCACGCTCGCTTCACCATAGCACCCAGCAATTTATAAAAAAAATTCTTTTATTTTCAGCCATACACTAATAATATTCTGAGAATATTCTGAAACACAAATGGCTGGCAGGCCCCTGACTGAACGCTGGTCACTCCGTGCGGACTAGAAGACAATCTTCGTAGAAGCGTTGAGATCCCCTCCACGGTATTCACAGGGGAAAGTACTTCTGTATGTGGGTTGATTGAATTCGTGCGACGAAGGTTGGGGACGTTACTTGGGTTGTCAAGTTTGATAAGTGGCACCGAACGGGTACGTTAAGTTCTTCTTTCTGAGTCATATGCATTATTTTATTGCTGGTGCATTCCAGACGAGGAGCTGAATTATCGCTTGACAACCGCCGTGTTTCAATATAAGGTGGCGTTCTTATTGCTTTGTTTTGGTGGAGTTATTCAGCTTTTCTTCTCTTACAGGATGACATGCCTTATGCGAGTGTATTACGAATCCACGAAACGTGGCTTGATGGTTATGCGGGACCTTTGGTCCTAATGTAGGAGGCACAGCCAACGATAGGTGAAAAATAAGCAGGGACGAGTCATCGTCCAGGTAACCGTGAAAAAGTTATCAGCTCTGGAATCTAATTTTGTGGATGCTGTTGTGTGTGCAGTGGCATACAAATATATTCCAGGTTTACTGAGATTGATATATGATGAAGAAAAACGAGACAGATGCTCACTCAGGCCAGTGTGGAGCCCCTAGTGCGACGATCCATGGTCGAGGTCGACTTACAACGCGTTGAAACGAGCCAGTTCTACACTTAATGGAATGGAATGTGGATCCAAGCGCGTGTACATTCCACCTATGATCGACAAGTCTTTAATAATCCACTTGCGACAAGACAAGGGTATGTTTACGCATTTACACTCATTCATTCATGGTGTAGAACAGGGTGACATCAGGATCAAAAGCAAGAACCAGACACACTCAGGTCGGAACGACAGGGATCAAAACTCATCGGAGAGGTTTGTATTCTGGATTTAAATCGCGTCTCTCAACAAGCTTTCGAAAATGGAAGGAGAAGCTTTCATTCCAAAGGTTCAAGCTTTTGTTTACAGAAGTATCACGGCTGCTTGTGTCTGTTTCAGCAAAACCAGAGAAGAGAAACACTGCTACTAACTTTCACGCGTAAGTTCTTTGAGGACTTTTTTAGTTGCAAAAAGAAGTACACACGCACAGCTGGAGGTAACGTTTTCTCTTGTTTCTTTCCAAAGGTTCAAGCTTTTGTTTGCAGAAGTATCACGGCTGCTTTCGTCTCTTTCAGCAAAACCAGAGAAGAAGAGAAACACTGCTACTAACTTTGATGCGTAAGTTCTTTGAGAACTTTTTTAGTTGCAAAAAGAAGTACAGCAGCAACTACACGCACAGCTGGAGGTAACGTTTTCTCTTGTTTCTTTCGGGTCCTATTCTTTCCTCCAGCTCCAAATCGAAGCACAAGCCAAGAACATGTTTGAGTTCCAGCAAAAGATTGAGGTGAACCAGCAGTGCAAGGAGGAGCCCTGCAGTCGACAGTAACTGAGGCTGCAGCTAGCGTCTCGTCAGACGCCAAGTGCTTTGAACCGGCCTCCATGAAATCCAAGATTTCGGAGGAGCAAAGGCAAAATTCTGTCACCATGAGATGACACAAACCACGGGAATATTCCAAGAATATTCCATGACTTAATGCCTTAAAAGTTGGGAGGTTGGGTTAGGGTTTGCTCTTTTGTTTGTTTCATTAATATTAGAGTAGCATATTCTTTTGGCATGGCAGATAAGCAAGATATTGATCCTGATGAGGAGTATTGCATTAGTGCTGATAGCCATGATGATAAGGAAGAAACTTTTGATGATGTAGTTGTGTGGCAAGGATGTTAGATTTCTGAAGTTCAAAGCGACATAAAGGAGGTTAAGGATTCCATCAATCTCATTAAGGATTTCTTGATTCGCATGGATCCTCAAGGGTTGAATCAATCTCATGTCTGTGATTACCATTTGTATATCAAACATGCCAAGGATTATGGTATCATGGAATGGAAATCATCACTAAATGTTTGTGATAGTTAGGAGGTTGATTTTTGGTTGGAATTGTGGGAAAGTTGTTGATCTCACAATCCTTGTAAGGATAATGTGAAGATTGATTTTTTTGTAATGAAGCTTATAGGCCATGCTTTTTCATGGTGGAAGAATTACATTAAAGCTAATCTAAAGCCGATTTAAGCATTTGCTATGGTGGCTTTTCCACACCCTATGGCAAAAGTTCAAGAATCTAAGTCTTAAGTTCATATCAACTCTATAAATATTAATGGTTTTATGTGCAATCAACTTATGAAGGCCAAAAGGGACATTTAAGGTAATGCTATTAGTATTCTTTTCGATCCAAGTGTTACTCACAACTTTTTGAGCTCCAAGGTGGTGAAAAAATTTGGTTTGCCTATGGAAAAGAGTTTAATAATCTATGAGGTGGTTATGGTAGATGGGCATAACACTTGTGTTTACGGTGAATGGGTTTCAAGTGTTCCTTTGACAATTAAGAGGATTCTCAACCTTCGTTCCAGGTTATGAATCTTGGTCGCATAGATGTTATTCTTGGGAAGGAATGGTTTTATGATAGGAAACCAAAGATCGATTGGGAGCTTAATGTTTTCCATATCGAAGTTGGTGGCACTATAAAAGAGATTATCAAGACAGACAATGGTGATACTCTATTGATTAATGCTTTAGAGTTGGTGACATGCATGCGTGAGATAGTTAGTTCTTTTGTGGTGTACCCATTTCTTTCTAATATGATCAAGTTTGATTTGGAGTACATTCATGGGCATGGGGCTTGGATGGATTCCATTTAGAAGGAGTTCCATGACGTATTTCCAAATGAGTTGCCTGATGGTTTGCCTCCCGAATGTGGAATTTAGCATGAGATTGACTTGGTTCCTGGAGCTTCTTTGAAAAATATCAAGCACCACAAAGGCGATCAAGCAAATCATTGATACGAGGGATTGGGAACATATTCTTCATTGTCTTATCATTCAATCCTTTGTAATTCATGTAGAGACGCCATGTACCATCTTTCTTTTTGACCATCCCCCACTAGAGTAGCCTAAGGAGACATGCTAATCTATAACCACCCTTTTTGAAGGTATTCAGTAAGCTACCTATTAATCTCCTTATCTTTAGTGGGATTAGTACGAGTCAGTTGTCGTGGATAAAGAGTTTGATTTAAGGCAAAGGTATTATCAGATTTGTGTCAAGCCAAAGGATATTCTGAAAACTGCATTTCAGACAAGAATAGGTCATTATGAGTTTTTGGTGATACCATTTTCAGATATTGATGAATCAAGTTCTACAACCTTATTTGGGAAAGTTTACAATTGATTATTTTGATGATATCCTGGTATTTAGCTCTTCAGTGGAGGAACATGAGATGTATGTGCAAAGTGTTTTACAACTTTTGAGGGACAACAAGCTCTACTTGAAATTATCAAAATGTGAGTTCTTTTTTTAGGAGATTGGATATCTTGGGCATTTGATTTTAGTACAAGGAGTGAGAGCTAATCCCGCAAAGATTTAGGTTGTGGTTGATTGGCCTATACCTTTGACAGTGCATGATCTTTGTAGTTTCTTTAGTATGGCTGGAGTTTTTCGACGATTTGTGAAGGACTTTTCAAGAATAGTAGCCCCTTTGACTAATCTTCTCTAAAATATGTTAAAACATGCTACTATTCATGGTTTGGATGAGAAGTGTGAAGTGGCATTTCAAATTTTGAAGTAGTGTTGTATCTCTGCTCCGGTGTTGAAGATTTTTTATTCTGAAAAGCCTTTTGTGGTCGAGACAAATGCAAATGACATTGCTATTAGAGTCATATTGCTTCAAGTTGGGCATCCTCTTGCATACATGAGCCATAAGTTTGATGCCACATAGTGGAATTGACCTATTTGAGACAAGGAGTTGTATGCTGTGATTGCTGTTGTGAAGGAATGATGACATTATCTGTATGGATCAAACTTCCATGTGAATTCAAATCATCAGTCTCTCCAATATTTTAGTCAACAAAAGGATCTTCAAGGCCACCTTGCTCATTGGCAAGAGTTCCTGCAAGAAATGTTTGTTAAGATCCGATACAAGTATGGAGGTGATAATAAGGTGGCTAATGCATTATCTAGAATGGTAAATTCTATCTCGTTCGTAAAGCTATCCAGCGATCTCTTGGATGAGTTTAAGGAGTTTGCTGACTTCGACTTCTTTATCATTGATATTCACGTAAAAGTTTTGTTGAGGGATGCCTCTACAAATTTGAAAGGTGATAAGTTTGTGTCATTCGAATTACAAGATGGAATCTTGGTGAAGAAAGGATATATAGTGGTTCCTTGTATTGACAAACTCATTAAATAGATTTTGGTTGAGTGTCGTGATATGCCAAGTGCTAGGTATCTAGGGTATTGAGAATGTATATGTTGGTGAAGAGGCATTTCTTTTGGCCTGGGATGAAATCAAATGTTGAGAAATACAAATGTGGTTGTTTGACCTGCTAAGCAGTCAAAGTTGATCATCAGAAGCTCGCCAGCCTCTATCATCCTTTACGTGTACCCAAGAATAAGTGGGATAGCATTTCGATGAACTTTATCATTGGTTTACCCAATATCTTTTGAGAAAATAATGTTATTTGGGTTGTTGTGAATCGTTTGATGAAGATGGCTCACTTCTTCCTATGAAGATGATGATAAAAGCTTCTGAACTTGCTTAATTGTTTGTAGACTAGTTATTCAATCTTTATGGTTTGCCGGATGACATTGTGAGTGATCGAGGTCCCAAGTTCACGTCCAAGTTTTGGCAAATAGTTTTTGAAAAGCTAAAAACTAAGTTGAGCATGAGTA